AAACCCAAAATAAAATATACATGCCATATGGCTTCTAGTTTCGACAAATAAATTTTTATTTGACAAAAAAATATTGGCGCCAATTGTTCAATTTATTTAAAAAAATTTTAAAACCGACCCGCCCCGAATTTTTTAAAAATTATTAGGCCCGACTCAATCCGACCCTGATTTTTTTTTTAAAAATAGGCATGGCCCATTCGCGTTGTTTGCAGATCTCTTATTTTTAGTGTATATTTTTTATTACACAGCAAAAAAAAAAGTTTATTTTTTTAATAAATGCCCATGCTTCTAAAGATGACTCTTTCTTTATTGATGTCATAAATTTGTGGTAATCCTGAGCCATCGCTGATTCTCATCCTCCCACAACCCACAGACAGAAGGAATGGTATGTGCATGTAGTAGCTTACTATGCTGAAACTTACTTATCTAGACTGCAATCTACTGACTGCACTCTCTTATCTTCCCTAACTAATCAATAATTGTGGACACTTGTTTCACGAAACCATTCCCTCTCTCAATATTCAACCTTCCAATAATGAACTTACCTCTGTCATCTATATTCGTCTTAACTGCTCCTTCAATCATCCCCGCATGTGCTCAAGTTGTAATTCATCCGTAGTCATGAAGTGAATACATAGTTTATATTGTCCTTCCTGCAGTGGCCAATTCATCAGGTATACACATTTATCAATCATCTAACGGTTCAAATACCTTCCAAACTTGAACCTCTTAGTCATTTCAGATCAGACGATAAATGTCCTAATGGGATCCCATCTATGGAAGAGGCCAATTATTAGTATAGAATATTTTCGCAATGATGAGCTGGCTTACTCCATACAAGTCCTCGAGATCTTGCACTACAAAGAACATCATAAAATCTAAAAATATTCTAAAATTCTTATTTACCATTTCTTCATACCTATCATATTAACCACACTTATCACCTTTGGTAAATTCTCCCTAGCATTTTTCAAAGATCTATACTCCCAAATTACTAAACTCACAGAAGAATCTTGTGAAGATCGTTTCCTTAAATAAACTGGCCATAGCCATTCTTAAGCGATCTATATATGCTTCAAAGGCAGTCTTCTTTCGAAAGAGCTTTCCTTGACTCTAATATTAAATAAATATGGTGAATTCCATGACAAATCAACACGACCCCCTCAGATTTTTCTAAATTTTTAATAGAGTTTGCATATTTTATAACTCAGAAAAAAAATAAAATTTTAGCCTTTAACTTCAAACAGTATCTGAGATACAGGCCTCCAAGGGTCATGGAGCATTTTGGACAGAATGCTCAGCTTTAATTTTGGATATAATTCAGTTAAAAGCGTCATTTAAATTTCTTTATATAGCCTAATGGTAGGCCTTTATAGATATGGTAAAGATTGTTTAAAAAGTTGAAATGTCAAAAACCGGAAATGATAAAATCAAATCGTAATTTTTTTTAAGAGGTTGAAACGCGATCTTTTATAAAACAGGGAGCTTTCGCCGTTATTTTTGGATAAACTAAATGTGTCACCATTTGTTGATTATCAGAATTTAAATCATTAACAATCATATCTCCTGCTGTGGGATACTGAAAAAAATCACCTATTAAATTATTGGTTTTTTTTCACAGGTTTATGATTCTGATATTCCAAAATCCTGAGCAGTAGTATAAAAAATATTGATATTCGTGCAACTGTTTCCTCATCTTCCAGATCATCAATGGATTCACTAATATTTTCAATTGGCTTGAAAACTCTATCATAAATAAGTAATATTATGTTTATATTTATAATAAAATAAACCTAAAAGACTTAATAAAGTTTTTGGCATTATTAGTAATGGTCTTTGAGATTTTATTTTGTATGCAATAATCCTTTGCTATATCTTGTAAATTTTTTGCTATTTTATCATATGTATAACTACCAGTCATTCTTTTCTTTCCAAACTTGTTGGATCTATATAGTGTCCAGTCACTCCTATGTATGAACTAAAAATTAACATTTCTTAAAATTGCTCAAATAATTTATTTGTAATTAAATTATTATACAAATTTATGTTAGCTATACCGGCGATAGGCACTCCAACAATCTGCTGTTGTACATATTAACGATGGTTTTATTAGACTTTTAATGATTTCTTTCTTTTCATTCTCCCATCTTTGGGAGATTCTAGCAACCACTGTCTGTCAGCAAATTATATTTTTTTGTGGAGCTAATGTTTTGATCATTTTTATAAATGAAGGATTTTCAACAATTGAAAATGGCTGAATGCTATCTATAATAAAATCAGTTATTAAATCATCTAAAGTGGTTTAGGTTAAAGTCTGAGGTCTCTTGGAAAAAAAATCAAGGGACGATGAGCCTAGTCCAATATTTTCTTTAATAGATTTTTTCTCCTTCCCCTTTTTTATTTGGATTAAGAGTGTTTGATGTTTTCTCTTAAAATTTAAAATTGTAAACATTTATTTAGTATCTATACCCTTAAATGTTTTACAATGTTGCAAGTTGAGGTAATGCTAACTGAAATTTGCATATTTTTTGGTAGACACGCAAACATTTTACTAAAAGAGATTTGTTTTCTTTATTTTGCGATATTATTTTAAAATATATCTATAAATTGGCCATGGAAGAAAAATACCAATTCCATTGCAATTAAATATGGCAAATTCCTTGAGATGGATTGTAATATCAGAATTTGCTAGTTATTGATAACTCGGACATAATATTTAATTAATATTTATATATTCTTTTTTACATATAGGTTTTAATATTTTACATATATATATATAATTTTTTAATATATATTATATTAAGTTATATGCTCATATAAAATAAAATTACTTTTACACTTAAGTATTTTTCTTCTTTTTTTTTCTCTTTATAGCTTTCACCTTTTCTGATGGTAAGCTCCTTCACTTATCTATTATAATATTAATTATTATCTATTTTTATCTTTGTATTTCTGATCGATTTCATTTGTATCGATCACCGGTGTATCATTTTTGAGGCCAAAGTATCTTGAACTCCCACCGGTGTATGAAATCAGTATCGCCCAGATATCCTACCTGAGTATTCCCAACACGGAGTTATCAAATCGATAGATATCCCAATGATCTCCCAATATTTGTATTTCTGATCGATTTCATTTGTATCGATCACTATCACGAGGCCAAAGTATCTTGATCTCCCCCACCGGGGCATCAAATCAATATCGACCAGATATCCCACCTGAGTATTCCTCACACTGAATTATCAAATCGACAGATATCCCAATCCTGATCTCTCCCACTGGTATCCATATCGATGGATATCCCACCGGAGTATCGTTATCAAGTCCATTGTAACTTGGTAGACAGACATTGAGCTTGAACGGCCCCCGAGGTCACCATCATCCTAGCGCTGGCCAAGAATTCGTTATCATCTGACCCACGAGTTCAGCTGGCCTTCTTTTTTGGTTTATTGGACAAGTATCCTAGCACCCGGCTGTCCAAGCCTGTCGGTGACCGTCTCAGCTCAGAAATTTATCATATCATATGTCTAAAGCCATACACCATCGAAGAAAAACCCGAAAATTTTTGGCTCTTCCCAGGATTGAACCTGGGACCTTCGGTTTACAAGCCTTCATCACACACCACTGCACCACCCCGGCGATTGCACCACCTTTATTTATAATATAAAAAAGCGTTAAATAGAAGTATATCAAAATGTATCTTAAAAAGTATCTACAAACAGATATAGATACCTTTAAAATAATATCTAGATACAGATACTTTGATCAAAAATCTATCTAGATACAGATACCACATTTTTATATCTAGATACTTTAACAACTCTGTTAATTTTACATGATTTCGCCTTTAAATTTTCATACTAAAAATCAGGACTATTATCCTTAAAAGATCAAAAGAAATAATTTAATATTACTTATTTTTTTTATACAAAAACATTAAAATTATATGAAAAAAATAATCGCTATTCTATTTAAATGTAGTAACACTTGTCTAATTTTAGCTCTTTATAATTCTGGAACTCCTTAATTTGAACTTAATTTTATATCCCAATCAAATTCCAATAAACTACTATTAGAAAGTTAAAAGTCTTGATAAATTGGGTAACTGTTAAAAAATCTTGGTCCCAACGGTGCCCAAATTAGATATGTTTTACTGTATTTTTAAAATTGAAACTTTTTTTGAGAGATTGGAATTGGTATTTATAATCGATTCATTGGCTACAATCCATCTAATTTTCAACTCACACTATGACTCATTTCGGGGGATGGAACAATATTATATTTGGTCATTCTCTTAAAAATTGCAATAAATTACAATAATTGTTTAAGAGAATGGATAAATGTTATTTAAAATGATAGTTATAATTTATAGTAGGTTTATTAGTCCTCAATATAATTATGCATAATATATATATGCAAAAAAAGAACAGTTGATAAAGAATAATATTCAAAAATAATAGGCAAATTTTTTATCTGACATTTGCAACAGCTTAACTCAGGTTATATTTTAGAGTTAACAGCCTATTTTATTGATAACTTTTTTAAACTAAATACCATAATAGTGTAATAAAAAATTTATCAATATATTTTCATATGAATTATTTTATAATATTATAGAACAAATGAATAATTCGAATCGAATACGAACAGAAAATTTTGCTATTCTTACGAATACATAAATTATTCGTATCGAACTACGTAATATATTTTAATTCAAATTTTTTTGAAATATGTTAATACATTTTTCTAAGCTTGTATGTGAAAGAGATAGAATAGTTTTTAATATTAAAGTTCAAACCGAATCTGAACCCCGCAACCAAATTTTTTTTTTGAACTAGAAGCTAATCGGTATTTATTATGTTTCGGATCCCTGCTTTTATACTTAATTTCACGCTTTAATTCTTTATATTTTATATTTATTTAGGTTTTTTATTTTAACTTCTACACTTCCTTTCCTTTTTTAAATATCAATAATGATTTATTTTATATATTATTTAAAGAATGTGAAGATGACGAAACGTGGGTCCCACCTAGTTTGACACGTAATGATTATTTAAAACTTATCAGAATAATAAACGAATAGAGAGAGCATGAATAATTAATTAGAAATAATGAAATAAAAGGGGAAAGAGATAGAGTTGGGCAAATCATGTTAATGTCTCGAGAACATTACATACCAAAAAATCTGTTTACCAATTTCGATTGCATTATATAATATTCAGATATAAAATAAATGCATTAAGATGATGGACATTATAGATGAGAGTAATAGACTTATATAATATTACATATACATTTTAAGCTTTATATATTGCTTAAAAATTTGGGCGGGAGGAGGGGGATATAATTTTTTATATATTATCAAAAAAATATGATATAATCGATTTTTTTTTCCTAATATGAATAACTACTTTATTAATATTATTTCTATAATTTTCTTGGGCAGTAAATTAAACAAGGTCAGTATTTTTATTATCAAAAAAATATATAATAATCTATTTTTTTTATTCCGAATATGAATAACTACTTTATTAATATTATTTTTTAGTCTATAATTTTCTTCGGCAGTATTTTTATTATTAAAAAGTTAATCTTTCTTAGGCGATACATTTATCAAAAAGGCAATATTTTTGTTTAAAAAAAATTAATAATTTGGGCAGTATTTCAAAAATATTTAGGTTTAAAAAAAGTTGAATTGTAACTAAAATTGTTCAATATTTATTTGAATGTTATTTAATATTTATACAAATATTGTTTTTTATAAACTATCAAGTATAATAAATGAAATGCCAAATATAAAAAAATTAGTAAATAAAAAAAAGAATGAAATTTATGGAATTGTAGTTTTTATTACACATGTGTCATTGAGCAAATCTAAAAAATAGAAAATAATTTTAAATGCTTCTAAATATTTAGTTTAAACTTCCATGTTCCTATAAAACAAGAGCCTTTTAAAATATTTATGCAAATATCTTTTTATGATAAAAAGCTATCAAGCATATTAAATTAAATATCTATATATAATAAATTTAGTAAATTAGCAAATTAAATAGCAAAAATGAGATCCATTATGGAATTGTAGCTTATATTACATTGTGTCATTGATGATAAATAATTTATAAATTTTTATATCTAAATATTTAAAAAATTTAACTATCAAAAATTTAAAACACCTCGAATATATTTGTCATCTTTTTTTCTTTCTTTTTTTAAAATAATGTCACAAATTATATATTTACCGATATCTATACAAATTAAAAAAAATTCCATGGGCTGTATTTTTTTTTTGAAAAAGATTTCATTTGCCCCATGATGATTCCTTTTGAATATTTTGATATAATAGATGTGGAATCCACTCTGATTCCGAAGGTCCATTAATATTTATAAACATAAAATTCAACAAATTAACTCTTAAATTCGCTCCACCATGATTAAATTCATAAGATGAAAGAGAAACGTCTATACTGCTAAAATTTTTGTGCGAAATGCATTACCGCAATAAGGTTCTTCCGTGAATGCATTACCTTGAATTCATTTGTGCGAATATATTACAGCGAATGCATCATCGCGAAATTATTAGAATGAATGCATTATCGCTAATGAATTACCTCAGTTGGAATATTAGATGTAGCTTGGTATTTATCGACCTTTAGACATACTTATGGAACCTGAAGAAAATGAGCCTAAAATCGGGCTTTTTTGAAAATTGGGCTAGCTTTTTTTTACTACAAATATATAAATATTCTAAGTAATATTGGGTAAAGAAATTTTATATTATTTAATTGTTTATTTATGCATTATAGCAGGCTCATGCCTAAAATAAAAATTTGGATTGGCTCAGGCTTAAAAATAATTAAAAATTTTGGGTCAGGCTCGGGCCGAAATAAATTAAATTTATAAGGCGCTAAGAACAAGTCTTATTTAAATATTGAATCAAACAGATTTGTCCTCGCAAATAATTTTTATTATTCCTTGACAAATTAATATTTTGCATATTGTCTATTAAGGTTTGCAAATTTTTATACATTTTTTTGATAATGATATTATTCAATTAATATTGTATTTTTATCAGAGACTTGCAGAAGTACCATTTGCACGGCCTGGTTCGGATTATTTTTAAAAAATTTCGGGTCGAGTTTTATATATTTTTTTTAGTCCCAACCCGAGTATATTTAAAAAAAATTAATACGGCTGCAGGTATCTGATCTTTATATAGCTATTCTATATAATATATGCAAAAAAATCTAATTAGTGATGTAAGTGTTGAAATTTTCCTACCTTACAATGTTGATATACTAAACATAAATATAATCAACGATAATTTTAATAATATATCAAGCACATCTAAATAAATGTTTAGTTGACACTACAACTCAAGAAAATCAAACAACTCGATTGTGATTTGGCACTTATTCACTCTCATTAACGATGGCTGGACACATATTCATAGAGAGTTCATAATTATGGCTCCAGAGCCTATTAAAAATTCATTGACACAGGGTTTAATGCTCACACTGGTGATTACATAGCATATGAGTTAATCAAGGTGATTAAAGAAATTGGTAATAAATTGATCTCACTATAGTAACCTATAATTCAAAAAATATGAAAAAGACCTGGAGTCTTGTTAAGGCAAAATAATATTGAATGCTTTGGTTGTGCTACCATGGCCTGAATCTACTTATAAAAGATTTATGCGAAATACGTTATATCTAAAAGTTCATTATAAAAACCAAACAAATTAAATTTATGATATTTTAATGGCAACTTTTGAAAATATATAAATCTTCTTTAAAAATTTTACATCCGACACGAAGGGGAGGTATCGTTATAATATTGCAAAGTGTTATGAAAAATATTTCAAATTTATTTATAGACAAACGAAAAAGTATATTATAATGGACCTATAAAGATCTTGGGATATATTAGACATGGTGCTGATTTTTTTGGAAATTCATTATTGCATGATTATAATTGTAGAGTCAGATATAGCGATATTAACTGACATACCCGAAATATTTTGGGATATAAAAGATAAATTAAATCAACTTCTATTTTTAATGGAAATGATTTGATTGTTCAGATGTTTTAATAAAAAAGATATTTGTTGCAAAGAATATATCATTATGTGGTAAAATTTTGGACCCTTGATATTTGGTTTGAAATTATTAGACCGTGAATTATCGGTAGCCTTAAACTTATATTTCAGGTCAGCTTAATTGCAATATTTGAAAGTTATAGGTAATTTAGCAGAATATCGTTAAATAAAAGGTTTTGTACAGGAGCCGACATATGGGAGAACTCGAACTATATCAAACCTCTCATGTTGGATAAGGTTGTATACAAATCAATCGCTTTTTCAAGTGGCTATGGCTTTCGATACCACCTTCAAGTGTCTCATAAAGAATTTGGTAAGCATTTAGGAAGGTTCATTCTAAAACTAGAAATCGAATAAAAAATGAGAGAAACCGAAAATGGATATCTATCAGACATCATCTACATTGGATATCAACAAAAGATTTTGATTTATAATTCTCAAATGATAGCGATGCTATTTCAATTTTCATATTTTCCTTTTCAGAATTTTGTGATTTTTTAATTTTTCTCGGATTTTACATATAAATTTAATATTCAACTAGTATTTTAGGCGACCATCTTAAAAATGAATGAAACTTGGCATGTTAGTTATTTATATTGTAAATTTAAATAAAATTAAAATTACAGAGCGCTCGCTCAACCAGATCCAAAGATATACGTCTTCAAGTCGAAAATTAATACGTGATTTCATTAAATCTCCTTTTTAAAAAAAAATACTTAAGAGTTACAAATTATACAAAATTATATCCCTTAAAATTCGATACTGGAAATATAAAAAAGATTAAAAAATTTCAAGTGTTATCTTATCTCTGATAAAAATAAAATATTAACATTATTGAGAGGGATTTTTTTGTTGATATTCGCTAGGAATGTATTATCTTTATATTTAACTGTTTATTCAAAAAAAATATTTCTGTTTTTTAATTTAATTTTAAATTATTATTTTTATAAATAAAAATATACAATATAGATGGCCTTATATTTAAAACTTATAATATAATATATTTAATAAAAAATATATATTGTATTGATATTAAAATAAAAAAATCCATTGAGTATAACCAAGATGTCCTGGGGCGATATGTAAGCATGCAAACAGACCATACAGATAAGATTATTATTAGGACGCTGTATTGTAAAATAAACATTTTAAAATCTTATATATAAACTATAAATAAATATCTCTTATCTATTGGTTGTGACCGCTTAAAATATCCACACGAATTTTTATGCAATTTATAAAATGAAACTTATAAAAAATACAATAATAATTATCAATTTGCTCCCCTTTTATAGGGAAGCTATCAAAGCTATAAATAATAATAATAAACTAAAAATGCATTTTCTTAAATTTAAAATGGCCAGAAACCATAATGGCTTTGTTGAAAAATAAAATTATACATTAAACCTACAAATTACAACAGCACAAATTATATAAATTAAAAATAAGCTTGAAAATTAAAATATAAGATGATTTCACCAAAAAATTGAATTTATAAATGTAAAAATATAAATCATGATTAATCATAAATAAACTTGACATTTAAATATATAACTAATTATGACAGATCTTTATCATATTCCATTTTACGCTAAAATTTTCCGAGGCTATAATTTGTAAGTACATTCTGTCGCTGTTATGGAATCTACTATCGTGTTATGCAGATTAGATATAAAACATTTCCATATTTTTAAATTTATTTGCAAATAAAATTATACAATAACATATTCATATATTATCAATTTTTATAAGTTAAATAATTTTATTTACAAACGAATTAAAAAATATGGAAATGTGTTTGATTAAATCGGCACAACTCTATTTAATTAATGGACAGCCATCTCTTTTCCTCAATTGGAGAATAGAAAGATGGTGATGGTCCATGGGAATGTAAAAAAGAAATATATATTCCTTAGTAATTTCGTTTTTTTTATTACCCTGGCTAACCACCAAAAATCGTCATAAATACATATGATCGGTCTTTTATTAAGGATTACAAAACACAGTACCAAAATAGAATAAAATTGCTGTGGAGATATAATGTTGTTAAAGTAGCGCGCTACTCAGTAGCGGTAGCTTTAGCGCGTTACTTTAAAAAAAATAGCAGTATCTCGCTGGTGATCTGCATCGGGCCTAATTTTTTAAGCCCGCCCCGGCCTGAAATTTTTTTTTAAAAAAGTTTTCCCAGCCCCGGACCCGAATTTTTTTTTAGAAAATTTTACCGGCCCAGCCCGAACCCGAATTTTTTTATATTTAACATTTTGTATTTTCTTAGTAGACACTAGACAGACAATTTATTTAGTATTTAATTATTTATTTAAAATACTATCAAAAATATCTATAAACCAAACAAATAATAATTATAATGTTAAATTACACAACTATATATTAGATTCATATTTATAATTATCATTTAAAAATATCAAAGCATCAACATTTTCAGGTTTCAGTCTATTTCTTCTTTCTTCTAATAGCCTTCCAGTCTTTGAAAAAGTTCTCTCTGGCGTTGTTGACGTTTCAGGAATAGCTAGAATTTTTCTAGACAATTTCGTCATCTTTGGTAATATAATTTCATTTTTGCTCCACCATTTTAATATATCTTTTTCTGGATCTATATTTTCTATATTCTCTTTTATATTCAAATTCTTATAAATTTCAAGCTCATCTGTTTCTTTTTTTTTTCAAATTCTTTCTCATTGTCTGATATATAAAAATAAGATGAATAGAACAATTTTAAATGTACATTTAGATCTTTTAGGAGATTCCATAATTTGAGAAACGCCTTGTATATCCAAATCTATAATATCAATTGAAGGTTTACAATATTCTTTAGAATTAATTATATTTTTGACTGAATTTTCTACTTCTAATATTTCCATTGATGATAACATTCTTAATTTTCTATATTTGGGGCATAAAAATGTCGCTTTATGCAAAATATCGATTTTAAATTTAGATAATAAAAAAATTTTTAAATTGGTTTTTATTTGTTTTATTTCATTGTTTTGAAAAGTATCATTTAAATTCGTAAAGAATATTATTAAAGCATATCAGTACTTTATATAAAGTAGGATTAATATCTCCTTCTAGTTCTTTAGTAGCTTTATCAAAAGGATGTAAAATATCAATCAAATTTTTTAAAATAGATTTCTCCAAGTTTTCCATTTTATTAATATCTCCCTTGGATGATAAAAAATTGACGATGTCATCATATTGGTTATAAATAGATTTCAACATATATAATTTCGAATTCCATCTTGTTTCGATATCTTGTTGTAATGTTTTGTCTAAATATTGATTCATGCTTTGTTTAAAATACATTGTTAATTTTTTAGTAGAAATAAGGGCTTGATATATATTAGGAGCGATAATTTTCAAAGATTGTTCCTTAAAGATATTTCGAAGAACTGTATTTAACAGATGTGCTCAGCAATTAAATCTGGTGTATTTTTCTAGGGCTTTAATTATATTAGCACCTTGATCAGATAAAAATATTATATTTTTCACTTGATCGGGAATTATTCTAATTGCAGCAAAATTTTGTAGCATTTCCTTATGTATGTTCGCGGCGGTTTTTTTCTCTTCTTTAAACTTACTCGTAAATAAAACATGTTTATATAAGGTTTCACTTTTGATATAATGAATTGAATAGGCAAACTTATTAAAGGAATCTGTCCACATATCAGTGGTGGCAGAGCACTTTTTATCAAATAATTGAACATTTATTTTATTAACCAAATTTGTTCTAATTTGATCCGTCATAACTATAGCATTTTTCGATAAAGTAGTTGGATGGGGAATAATTTCGCTACAGTCAATATTGCCGTAAATGGAGCCAATTTGAATAAAATTTTGAGCCATTTTTATAAAGCCATCTCTAGTTATCGAATCAAAGGCACGCATGTCCTTGGCGCAATAATAGATCATGGTATCACATATTTTCTTTTTAATAAAGGAAGAATTTATATCTATGGTTTTCTCTTGAATATATCTAGTTATTTTAGGAATAGAGGAATCGTCATTCTTAACGCACTTGTGAGTTGTGACGTCTTAAATGAGTATTTCCAGATGTACTTTTATATTGTAATATATTATTACATTTTTGGCATTGGAAATAATCAAGTTTTTTGTTTTTATCATCAAATATGTCTTCAAAATTTTCCCTTATATTGCTTTTACCTAAATGGGGCTTACAAATATATGTTCCATTTTTTATATGATTTTTTAAAAAAATAAAATCCATTTTTAAATTATAGTTAAATTTTATTAAAAAAATTACAATTTAGTTTTATAAAATAAATTACAAATTAATTTTTATAAAATTAAATTTTTTAATTATTATACCCAAAATAAAAGATATATGATATGACATATGGCGCCTAATTTGTAACTAAATAAAATTAAATATTTTTATTTTACAAATAAAAATTGTTGCCGCCTTGTTTCTCGGAAAAAATTTCAAAAGTTTAATTATATATTTATTTTAGATACATGCCATATGGCTAGTTTCTACCAATTTATTAATTATATTTTAAAATTTTTTCAAGGCCCGGCCCGAATTTTTTTGAAAATATTAGGCCCGACCCAGCCCGAACCCGAAAGTTTTAAAAAAAGTAGGCCCGAACCCGACTTGATGCCCATACGGGCCGGGCCTAACTTTGCAGATCTCTAATGTGCAGCCCATCCAAATTTAATTAAAGACTCACGAGGAAAATAAATATTATTTTAAAATTTACGATATAATAAATTAAATTATAAATCAAAATTTTTGGGATAAAATATTATATTTATAATAAGGGAAAATTCGGGAAATTTCCCTACCTTTACATCTCTAGTTATATATCATTACCCCTTCTTGTTATACCTTTTTTTCTATGATTATCTCCATCGTGATTTAAAATTTTAATTTTAGAATCCTCTCAAAATATTAATAATTCTTGCGGAAGAAATCAAGATGTGCCAGATGGAGATGAACCCATGAATCTGGAATAGAAAATTATATATATATATAATTAAATTTCTCTGTAAATATTAAAAATGTAAGTGTTAACGATACATATTTTTTCAAATATTTTCTCATAATTTTTCATCAATAAAGGTATTTGATTTCTAGTGATATATCCATATCAGGTCAATTCAGCGCAACTTCATTGCGAAGAAATTTTATAGCGAAGGTAATATCGCGAAGCGAATAATTTTATCGAAACTTATCACGAACCCTTTATAGCGAATTTATTTGCGTGAAGTCATTATCGCGAACGCATTACGGCGAAAAATAAATATATTAAACAAAATAGTTAACATTAATTTACCCACCAAAGTTCCTTAAATCATAAACGCGAAATGGTTTAAGGATCTTTAGTTACTTATTGTCTCTAAGTAATATAACCTTTATATGTAAAATAAATTAACCTTCTTTCTGGTCTCTTCTCCCTCATGATTGTAAGTACGGAGGGGATATTTTGATTCATACTCTATTAAATACCCCACACCCCTCCCCGCCTCAACATAAATTTAAAAAATTTGCATTATGCCATTAAAAGTAGATTTTAACAATATACTGAAATGCTTAGAATTATTTCTAATCAAGATAAAACTGAGAGCTAAGATACAGATTTTCTCAGATTGTTTTTGAAAATCATAAACAATTTTGCTAAGTAATTTTTCAGAATTTTTTTATCAAAACGATTTTCTTAATTTGTTGTGTAAATAAAATAAAAGGGAATCTCATCCATATTTTTTATATGCCTCCAAACTATTGTTTTTACATAATACACATCGATATAACTTTCTGATATGATATAAGATTGACATTCCCTCTGTTTCCTTATATCAATAAATAAAAATAACTGCAAAGTTATAATTAATCAAAAAAAAATTTAATTCTATTGGATAAGATAAATTTGTTTGTTTATGAAGAAAGAGAGAATTAGGAAAATTATTTGATCTCCAGTTTATAATTTTTTTTGTTTATGATAACTGTTGTATCTGTTAATATGTAATTGACATTTATAGACGTTCTTAAATAATTTTCCTTTGTTCTTAATTTATATTTGTGAAATGCAATTTTTGCTGGAAATTCAATTATTCCGTTTGTTTAGACAATAAAGAAAATATCAGAGTTGTTAAATGCTACTTTTAAAAGTCGCGCTACCGCTATTTGTCAAAAAAAAAAGTAACTCGCTATTAGCTACTTTTTATAAAAAAAATTTACAACAAATTTTTTATTTTTTGCTTATAATGTTATTGTATAGTAAATATATAAAAATCAACATTTATAAATATTAAAATACTAGCTGATAGCCCGTCAAGAATGACGGGGAATCAGAATTTTCTTATTTATTTAATGATGGATGAATAATAAATTTTCCTATTTTTACACAAAACTCATCTAGCAAGAATATATTTTTCATATTATAAATTACAAATACAAATGAAAAAAGATTTTTTATTGTGCACATATATTAAAATACTTACCATATACTTCATAAACATAATTTGTAAAAAAAATAATGGAAAGTTTTAGAATAACTCCTCATCTAAATAAATATAAATTTCTGAATCACATCTCATAAGATAGGAAAATTTCTGATTCATTCATCATCAAGTAAAGGAAAATTTATTATTCATCTATCATTGAATAAAGAATAAAATCTGATTCCCCGTCATTCTTGATAGGCAATCAGCTAGTAACTTATATTTCTGATAACAGGTTCTTAGAAAATCCCTAAAATATATGTAAAAGTAAAGGTCACAAAAGGCATTATTTTTTTTTGATATTTATGTTAAAATAAAAAAGGATTAATATTTCTTCCATATAAATGGCTTTCTTTATTTCCTTGTGTACAACAATTTCTTGAATGCAATTATCAAAATTTTTTGCAAATGATTTAAATAAGGCATATCTGTGGTTTGATTATTCCTTTAAGTTCAAATAAAGTCAGATGGAAAATGAAATAATTCAGTTATTGAAATTAGAGACCTTCACGGGACTTGATTTTCATCAGCCTCCAGCCCAGGTCAGCAGTAAAAATAATTTACAGGCCCAGTCCATATTTAATAGAATATTCAAACCCAAGCTCATCATAAGTTTCAAAAATTTTGCCCAAGCCTTTATCTAAAAATTTAATTTATTGTTTTAAGTAAATAAATAAACAATATTTAAGTGTATTTAGGCAGTCACTTTTGCAATATTGACATTTATTATTATTAGAAGAAAAAAAATGCAATATATGTTTAAGTTAGGAACAGTTTAATAGGCTAAATTTAAATGAAAAATTTTTAGGCTTTTTATCAAAAACCCTGTCCTGGCTCAGGCACGTTAGTAAATATATCATACCTGACATCCCTCATTGAAATATTTTGTCACCTGAGTTAGAGATTATTCTATCTCCATTTCCAACAATAATTTTTTTTGATGGATTATTTAAGAATATATTTACATAAAAAAATCTAAGAATATCCCTATTTTTTCTTACTGATAAAAATACATTATTCTGATTCTTTAAAACATTTTCAAGTATTGAATTAAAAGTTTTATAACTGATGTACGATCTCATTTAAAGATCCTGATATTACTGGTTCAAAAAACAAAAAATTAAAAAGAATATTATTTAAAGAAAAATAATATTTTCAAAATTTTTATTCATTCTATTAAAATATATTTAAATTTTTAAAATAAATAGTAATTATTATTTTATAAAATTTTTGGATTTAAAAAGAAGTTTTGGAGAATAGAATAATATTTCTTAAAATAAAATTTGGTATTTATTCTATCTCCAGTTTTAGAATAATAAAAATGTTTTTTTATGAAATATATAATGGTATTATATATAATTAAGTGATGAGTAACTATTAAATATACACATGAATTTCATCAAGTTTATTCTGAAATCTGGGTATGTATTTGAGAATCATAAAATATTTTCAGAGTTTCCATATGATTTATAAATAGAAGCGACTGAATAAATGTTTAGTTTGTAAGGTGATTACTGTTGGACCGATTATGCTATATCCATTTTTATTGGACAAATATATTTTAAAAGAACACTATTGGCCAAATTTGATTGACGGTTTTTGAGGATTATTATAATAGATAATTAGTTTTGATTATAAAAAAATTTATGTAATAAAAATAAATATTTATGGTAATTTGTTGCATTTTAATAAAAAAATCATTTCAATATTATCATCCCCAAGTTTAGAGCGACGATCAGAAAGTATAAGTTTTGCCTTACTAAATGACACTAGCATTTGAGGGCAGCGTCTACATGAGCGGGAGGGGTAGGAACAGTTTGCATCCTATTTTTCTGAGGGGGTAAACTACTTTAATGGGTGGGATAAATTTTTTGGCGGGTTATCTATTAAATTTTGAGATGAAATAGGAAAAATTTAATGCTGTAAAAATTAATACTTTTATTATAGTATTATTATAATACAATTCATCGACCAAATCTATATATTGGAAACAATAATACACATTGTTTTCCAAATAAACTCCTTTTAAATGTAATTTAAAAGGTTTAGATATTTCAGCAAGCTCATAATGCCATAATAATTAATTCATTGTAAATAATGGATGTTTTAATTGAATTTATTATCTAAAAAATATTCACAAAATATCGATAGTTGGTAGTAATTAATTTAAGTTATCCTTTTTAAATTCTTTGAAAAGAGTATCAATAAATAAATAGGTGAAAATAACAATAAAGAGACAAAGACACCGAAGGCGGCGGGAATTTTTTAGGGGAGGGGGAGGTAGGTAAAGATTTTTGAAGGGGGGTTTGCATCCAGTAATAATCTTGTCATGTAGACGCTGCTTGAGGGTAAGGGCGTATTTAATATTATATACATATTATTAATATAAAATAGATTATCAATCATTTTGAGGGCTAATGCCACAGATATCAAATAAAATTATTTTTTACACTCCACCCCCTTCTTTTTAAAGTCCTAGGATCTAGCCAAAGGCCTGTGATTCCCAAATATGTTAAAAAATAATTAATTAGATGAATTTATAAATATAAATAAGTTTTTACCTTCTGTTATGTGTGCAACTATCTACCGTGGTACATATATATGATATCTCTGATAACTATTTTATTCATTAGTGTCTGGCGGCATAATATTGTTGTACCAGGGGATAAAGTTTTAATCTAAATGATGGATTATCAACCAAGGACATTGGCTGAACTATATGAATTATAAAATCAGCAAAAACCTTATCAGCCAATTTCTGAGAAATATTGTCATTTGCATTATTAATTAATTTGGTTTGAATTAAATTAGTATTTTTGAGGTCCGTGAAGTTGGCAAAACGACTTGAGGTGCAATTGACAAAATTGATGTCATTATTTAGAGCTTTAATTGCACCTAATTGCACTTCTATCCGGACATCAGCAGAATGAACCGTTCGTGAGTTATGAGCAAAATAAGGAGAGTGTGAAATTTTGATGCTGGCAGAACGACTTGAGGTGCAATTAACAAAAGTTACGCCATTATTTAGAGTCTTAATTGTACCTAATTGCACTTCTATCCGGACATGAGCAGAATGAACCGTCCGTGAGTTATGAGCAAAATAAGAAAGTTGGCACTTTGCCAAAACCGAAAATAAAAAAGATCCTTTTTTGAAACTTAGCAATAATGTAGTATTTGATTTACTCTTTAATTTTCTCAAACGCGGATATCCGTATCATTAACCGCAAGCGAGTAATAACTTATTTGAGAAGCGGAAATAGGCGGAATTATTTATAAAAGGTGAGGTGCAATTAGCGATACATATGCCAATGTGTAGCCCTTTAATTGAACATTAAGAATCTTTAAACGGCATATCAGCAGAATTAACGGCTAGTGAGTTAGAAGCAAAATAATAAAGTGTTGGCACTTTGCCAAAACCGAATAAAATTAAGAATAACTTTCGAAACTTAGCAATTATTTAGTATTCAATTTGTGCTTTAATATTCTCAAAACGCGATATCCGTGTCATTAACCACAAGCGAGATTTGAGAAGCGGAAATAAGCCGAATTCTTTGTAAATGTGAGGTGCAATTAGCGATACTTATGCTAATGTGTAGCCCTTTAATTGAACATTAAGAATCTTTAAACGGCATATC